AGACTCGAGGTGTACACAAAAGAAGTCGTAGACAGGGGTTGTTGTTTACTTGTTTCAATATTTACATCCTCCAAGTGAGGAGTAGATAGCAGTTGAGCTTCGTCCCCGTGAGAAATTAAAACTATTATTTATTGAGAAGCAATAAAGTGGTTGGGTTGGGTGTGCAAATGCATAGTTGGGCTAGCTTTGTCTTCTTCAATGCCAACATTCAACGAATGAAAGTCGATAGCAAATGCGGTTGCCCAACTATGTGTATCGGTTTAGTTAGGAACACATATTTCTTCTGTAGTTCCTGTCACACCCTCACCATGTTCTTCTTTCCTTTCTCTCACGCTCTCAATATTTTCAAGTAAGTCTCCCTCAACCGTCCTTATATCATCCAGCAAACGATCTACGTCACCAAAAATCATTAAAGTCTTCTCCAAAATCAAAATTGAAAGAAAGATCTTGAAGACTTGGAACTTCATCATCTTGCTAATTTTGACTGTCGTCAAAGATATTTTCAAAATCATTATCATCATTGGCAGCATCATCAGCATCATTATGAACAACATCATCAGCATCATCATCATCATTGTATCATCAGATTGAGTAGTCGAGCCTGATAAAGTAGCTTCCGAGCTTAAAGAAGCTGAAGAAGTACTATCAGTTGGGGTATGTTGCTGATCAGAGTCCCCCCGCTCCAAACCCTTCTCAATCACATTTTCCCTCTGCTTAAACCCATGTCCAGGTACCCCTTGTACCTGAACACTCTCATCTATACCTAAACCCTCACAACGTTCATCTAAGGCATGGGGTGATCCCGGGGTAAGTTCAACCAGCTCTGGTTGAACTATAGGATCTCTCACCCTCTTATATTCTAAAATGCACTGAGCACTCTTATCAGCATAGGCTATAAGCTCATTTGGAATATTCATTATGGAATCGACATCTTCCACTTCAACATGCGGTTGGATAAATTGCATTTCAAAGTCCGGGCCAAATTGACTATTAATGCTTGCAGGAATATCTTTGTTGGCACGCATCATAGCTCAGATGGTTAATTGTAGAAATCTTTGAAATGACACGAATTTCCTCGCCTTCAAAGAAAACTTTTTCGCATGAACAAGTTCCGCTAGTTTATTCCAAATCACCATCACATAATCATATCGGCGGTTGAACACGATGCCATGAAGGAACTTCAAGAAAGAACTGTTGCACGTGTCAATTCTTGTTGTCTTGGACGTAAGACACCGATTTAGGATAGAAAACAACAGGTGCCATACTAACGGAAGAAATTTTCTTCGGAATTGTGAAGGATTTTTCAGTTCTTCCGAATATCCAGGACATCTGATATCTCAACAGAGCTCTTGATAAAATCTTCGAATTCAGGTGATCTAGATCCAGAACTTGGACTTGGCAAGTTCAAAATTCTTATCAGCTTCTTTAGAGTTAGACGACTCATGAATTCGTCCACATATCCTTGAATAGTGATAGCCGATGAAGGGGATTATTACCCAAAACTTGTGTTATTAAACGGTGGTATTTCACAAATATTCTTTAAACAGTTTTAGACTGTTTTATATTTGAGAAAAGAGTATTTTGCTTTTAAATGAAATTTGTGAACCGAGAAAAGAAATACGGAGTTTTGAGTTTATAAAATGTTTATTCAGGATGTATGACGTAAGTCTATTTTGATATGAAACTATGTTTTCTTTCAAGACGTGTGTGATGCAAGTATGTTTTGAAAGAAATACTAATTTGAGAAATGTTTATTCATGACGTGTGTAACGTAAGTCTGTTCTGATATGAAACTATGTTTTCTTTCAAGACGTGTGTGATGCAAGTGTGTTTTGAAAGAAATATTGACTTGAAAGATGTTTCTCTAGCACGTGTGTGACATAAGTCTGTTTTGCTATGAAACTAGGTTTCTTCAGAATGTGTGTGACGTAAGTCTATTCTGGTATGAAACCATGTTTTGGAGTTTAACAAATGTTTCTTCAGGACGTGTGTGACATAAGTCTGTTTTGATAAGAAACTATGTTTTGAGCCCATTATTGGCTAAAACTACAAATTTTTCTGTAGATTTGAGGAGGAAACAAGAGTGGCATATCTAGGAGAGATGTACTATGGGATAAGGGTAGCATATCAAGGATTGTACATATGGATATAAGACATTTGTGGGTGTGTTAATTGGTGTAACTCTTGTTATTATATCCATAAGGTGCAATAATTCTAAATCAACATTTCTCTGTGACTTGATGACTTATAGATATTGTTCTTATTGAAATGATAACATTGATGTTATTGAGAAGAGAAAAGCGGCTTATAGCTAGAGGCCTAATTGTCGTGATTTCAAATGATTTTGAGGTATCATATTCTGAGTTTTTTAAAAGAGTAGTGATTTGAAATAAAACTTGGAGGGTCTTTAGTTATTATTTTATCAGTTCTTACTTAAATTTAAATTAAAGTTTTTGATAATAACCAAGAACTCTGGTGGTTGTTATTTATTCTTACTCTTGTATAACCATGGGGTTTTAAACCATAAGCTCTGAATCAAGTGTGAATTGTGAGCTTGAGAGTTGTATTTCAGATGTCTATAAGATTCTGAGTGGTTAATCTTCATATATGGTAAGATTATTTTATAACATGCAGTTTTGTTTATTGGAGTTATATTTGATATAAAGTGGTTGATTATTTCAAATGTGGGATTTTAAAAGGTTTTGGTGATCTTCACCCTGTAAATGCAAAACAAGGATATCTCACTAGACCTCCTGGTCTAACCCTCATTTTGTGTTTTTAAAATATGCATTGCAAGAACAAATGGGTCTCGGGATAATAAGGGGAAGGGGAAAATATGATTATTTTCCTAATGTGCTTATCTGATGTTTGAAGATCAACTTGTTGACTGATATATTTTGAACATACATGTTGTTATACATGTGATAGTGCAAGGATATTCTTTTGGAATTTTAGAATTGTAAATTTTGTATATAAGATCCTTGTACTAGTGGGACCTTTGTGGTGTAAATTGTATTTATTTTATATTAAGTACATGTTATATGCAAATGTGGATGTTTGGGGTGTTACAGAGGTGGTATCAGACTGAGTTTAAGGGATTTAGGTATTCAAAGCATAATGCCTAGACTTAAACTGTTATTTGCATATTAAGAGGTCTCGAACGTAGATAGTATCATTAAGAATAAATATGATGGGTTAAAGAGGATAGTATGTAAGGTAAATTCGAATTAAAAATGGTCAATGGAATTATGAATTTACAGGTACATATATGTACTCGGATACCTTATTATATTTGGGAATGTGAATACGTGATATTTAATATTAAATATCTGCAGATGGCAAGTCAATCTAGAAGATCTAAAAGGATCACCCGCACCAATCCGGAAGATAGAGAAGATTCTCGTGATAATGCTCCGACTAATGTTTCTGAAAGTCGAGGCAGGGGAAGAATCAAGGGCAGAGGCCGAGGGAAAAGTCAGGCCAGAAGTAGAACAAATCAGACTGAAATTCACCTGGGTCAAGGAGAATCTATTTCGGGGAATGTCAATCAAGAACAGGTACCACAACCAAAATATATTACTCGGGATGTTCTAGCTGAAGAAATGGGTAAGCTGAAGGAAACTCTGGTATCTATTATGGAATTACTGGCTAGAGCTGAAACTGAACAAGTTGGGATAAATCCTCCCATTCCCACAACAAGTAGCAAAGACGGATTATGTTACAAGCATCATCCATCCATCAATAGACCTGATTTTTATTCAAATGTGATATATTTTAATACCCTTAAGGAATGTTGTCCTATAAAATGGAATGTACCAACTCATTTCCACAATAAAACTTCCAGCTTTTCCTTCTTTTTGCTGCAGCCGACGCTTGATCCTAAATAATTGCATTGTTAAAATGTACTCTCAAGTTTGAAAGTGGTCTGTCTTAACATGAAAACCATGTTGACAAAGATTAGTGCGATTTATATTATGAGTGAGTCATAAAATCAGAAGAAGAAAAAAAGCATACTAACAGAAACAAGTTGAGATCATGATTGTATCTCAATTGGCATCCTAAAATAATGTTATGGCATATTGCAGCTTGGTTGTCCATAATTTGCATGGATAGGTAGTGATTGTACCAGAAATGCCATATTTTCAAGCTACAACATTTCAATATCAAGCAATTCACAGTATTATCTTAGTCTATGCCATTAAATTAAAAAATCAAATTATTAGATAGCAGCAATTTGCATACTTTTGTTTTTCTTACCATGAAAATGGAAACAATCATTCTTCCATGCAATTACCTAAATGAAAAAGAATTGTGAGCATCAAGTCCAACATCCATACAGCAAGAAGGAATTAGCTAACATTAAGTAATATGAAAAGGGAAGAGAAATAGTAATCTTTGTAATCCTGAAATCACAAAGTTAAAAGCTACTTAAAAGCATCTTTAAAGGCAACCAAAATGAACAAATTAATCATATTACAACCATATATGTGGTTTATTTATAACATTGCCACATAGCTATGAAAGCAAAGAGAACAACTGAACTTGATTATATCCAAGAATTAAGGTGAACAGAAAGACATTACTCAGTAATGTGGCCAACTCATATGGAAATTTACAACAAGACATTCTAATGAAACTGTGAACTATTATATCAAGCAGTTTTTCAGTATGTTTTATGGTTATCCTCCATTGTGTGGCTTACGTTAGTAGTAAGCATCAGAAAAGAGTTCAATATCAAAGGATCTGAATTCATATTAGAAGAAAGCCAAAGAAATTATAAAAGGGATATGTGTGTGTGTGCGCGCACGAGCACGAGTGCATACGGTAATATCAATATGTCTAAGAAAGCAAATAAAAGAAGCTTGGAACCTGATTACAAATAACCAGAACACTACACCAACAAAGTATCTACTCACCCTGTTGCCATCAATTGGTCTAGAAAGTAAATAAAGAAAAATGAAGATAAAAGGATTTTATGTGATCATACTGCACCATTGGTCCAAGCAATCGTTTCTTGCTGCTTTAAAACTGTAAACAAACATCCTCAATTAACTTCTTGCAGTATATCATAATTACTGCCTCTTTGTTCATGACTACATACCAAACAGAAGGAAAAATAGAAACAAAAACCACATAAGAAGACAGCAGGAGGTTAACATTCTTATTCAACTCTAAATTTCGAGAATTTCTTTTGTAAATCTTGAGCTAATTGTCTATCACCAGTATGCCTGAGCACATTTCTGGTTTTTGCATAATGTAAATAGTCAGGCTTTAGACCTTTCTCCATCATTTCATTAAAAATCCTGCGAGCAACATCAATATTTCCTTCTCTCTGGTGGAGATTTGCAAGAAGGCTATACATCTTATTAGTGGCAGGCATCTTCTTCACTTCAAGATCCTGCACATATTTGTACGCCTCCTCCTTTCGTCCAACATTGTAATAACCTTTCACCAAAGCAGCATAAGTTTCAAGTCTCGGAGGACAACCCGTATCCATTAACATCTTTAAAATCCGATCCGCAAGTTCCAGATTCCCACGTCTACATGAACTTGAAATAAATATTTCAAACGTTATTAAATCCGGATCAACACTCATTTCTTTCATTTCATGAAGCATGTCTAGAGCTTCAGACAGCTTCCCACTTTTGCATAAACTACCTAAAATGTAGTTGTATATTTTCGTGTCCGGTTCACAACCAGCCACTCGCATTTCACCCATTAGAGCATAAGCTTCCTCAGAGCAGCCTTTCCTACATTTTTCACGAACTAAAATGGCGTAGTATGACAACTTCTTCTCAACAACTTCCATCACAAACTTCGCCATTTCAAAAGAGTCAATGGCACAAAGCATATGAATCATCGCAAAGATGCCCGAATGACGAGTTGAACCCCCAACTTTATTCAAAATCCCAATTACTGATGCAATAGATTCCATGGCTTGAGCCTTACTTGAATCAAGAACAGGCAAAAATCCGAATGCTTTGTCCGTAAGGCAGATTCTTTCCTTGTTAAACTTCTCCAACAGCGAAGTCATTGTGTTATAATCACCTAACCAACCACAGTTATCAATCATCAAACTACAAACATCAGCCTTTCGATAAGAATCCCAATTGTTATCCCCAACCCACTCGAAAAATTGCAGGCCATGTACTCTTTCGAAACTCAAAACCTGAAAAATCTCGAAAATAGACGTCGTAGAGAGTCTTACACCCATCAAATCTAACTTAGATCTGCAATCACCCTTACTGCTTCTGACCAATTCAATCACTTGAGAAACCATTTTTGGCGAAACGTAGGGTGGCTTAAGCCTAACGTTGGTCGTTTTTCTTGTAACGGGAGAATGATTTATGTTCCGAAATCCAACATTTTGATCAGAACTCAAAACTCCCTTATCCCTCGCCGTAACAGAAAAACGTCGATGAATACAAAATGGATAATTGGAGGTAAATGTATGAGTAAAGGGTGTTATTGATGAGATTAGTGAATTAGGGTTTTGGGTTTTAAGAGAAATAGGGTTTAAGAGGAACCTGATGATGAGCAGCTTCTTCATCATGTCGTAGTAACCGAGATCATTGGATGCTTGCTGCCACAAACGCCATCTCTCTTGACGCGAAGGAAGGGTTCTCCGCTCCTTCCGAGTTCCAAGAATCACTGGTTTTATTACATTTTCTTATCAGTTACCTACAGCATATATTTGGTTTTACAATTGAAAATAACCATGTTTACCTACAGCATCTTCAATGGAAACATCGTATTACCTATTACAAAATATTTATATAATACAAGAATATATACGTCGATTTGAAAAAAATTTTCTATATCGACATAATATTATTTTATATAGTTTTAAAAAACAATAATATTTTTATTTTTAAATAAAATATAAATTTATAATATACATAATAAGATTGAGGGTACGAAAAAAAGTTATAATCCTCAATAGTTGCTTTTGGGTCTATTCGGTCTCCAAGGGACTTTAGAAGAAGAGCAATGAGCGTAGTGTTGAACTCTTTCAGTAAGCACCCTTTTCGAAGCCAAAAGTTCACTTTAGGTAACTAAGTAGTCCCGTATGAAATACTCTAACCTTGCCTAACCGAAAGAGCATTTCGATTTCTTCACAAACAACATTTCCCTTAACCGTAGTAGGCAAGCAGGTAAACTATATTGGTTGAAGAATGTCCCAAGGATTCGGTTGTTCGCTGATTCGAGTGGTACGTGAGTTGGGTTGGTTGCGACCTCAACTCCAGATCAATGCAAAAGAAAGCATCTAAAGAGGAAGGCTCCTTTTAGAGCTAGAAAGCTGCAAAGCATAAGGAAGGTAGGAAAGGTTTAGCCGGCTTAGTTAGCGGAATATGAGGCTCAAAGGCCTAGAGAGCTAAAGTCCCACCTATCCCTTTTCTTTCCCTAGHGAGTGAAGTGCCCCATAAGCTATAAGGGCGAGCTATATGTATCAATTACGTGGACGTCCTTCTGGGCACGCCAATTTATTGCTACTACGGGGCTTGTCGGAAATCACCAGTAGCTTGGTCCGACCAAGAAAGGCATGGGACTCTTTGGACATTTATTTGGTGTGAAAAAAGAGAGTTGTTAGTAATAAATTGTAGTTTGAGTATCAAAATTCAAAAGAAAAATGAAATTAATAAAACAAAGGTATCTAATCATATATTAAAAAGAAAAAATTAGTAAAACCAAAAAAGAAATACACTTACTACAACCATATAAACATCACATTTATAACAATCATTTTGTATGAGTGAGAAATAAAATTTCATTAATCTTGTGGACTTTGATGAACTCTTAATAGAGGAAGTTAGGTACATGATGGAGAACTAGGGTATAAAGATCTTCACCTTATGTATTTAACATTTTAGGATACCCAAAATGGACAAATATCATGGTCTTCGGGCTTTAAGGGAATGATCACGATGTCTTCAACTTATGAACCTAATTTTAAACCTATTTAGATATATATATATATATATATATATATATATACTAGAAGAGTACTCGCGCAATGCAGCGAGATACATCGTGTTTTTAATATTTCATTTTATTCTTTATCTCAGTCGATGTTATAATATGACTTTATGT